TGGTCCTTAAAGGAATTTATTTATTTATCTATCTAATGCCTATGTAGGAATAAAACTTAAAAAATAAAAAAGGAGAGAGAGAGAAAAAGAATTTTAAAAGAAGGGAAAAAAAAGTTTGAAAACACTGTATAATCAATTATAGAAGTGCAATTTGAATCAGACTAGCATTCGATTTGAGACGTCTTTTTTAAAAACCCTTTTACAAAAAGGAGAAAAGATCAAAAAATGACATTTGAAACCTATTTATAATCAAAAACAGGAGATCAAAATAAAAAAAATGAAAATGAAATCAGGTGGATTTTTAAAAAAATAATAATAATGTAAATAGTTTACAAGAAAAATTTAAAAAGGAATTAAAACTAGAAGCATATGCAATTGTTTAGAAAGTAGAAATTAAAAAGGTAATAGAAAATAGAACAGATAATAAAAGATAAAATAAAGAGAGAACTTTAAGAGAAGGGAAGAAAAAAAGATTTGAAAACAGTGTATAATCAAGTATAGAAGAGCAACTTGAATCAGACTAGCATTCGAGTTGAGACATATTTTTAAAAATCCTTAAACAAAAGAAGGAAAAAAGATCAAAAAATGATATTTATAACCTATTTATAATCAATAACAGGCAGTCAAACCCAAAAGAAATGAAAATGAAATCAGATGTATTTTTTAAAAAATAATAATGTAACTACTTTAAAAGAAAAATTTAAAAGGGATTAAAACTGGAAGCATATACAATTGTTTAGAAAGTAGAAATTAATAAGACAATAAAAATAGAACAGATAAAAGAAGATATGATAGAGAGAGAATTTTGAAAAAGAGGTTTGGAAACAGTGTATAATGAGTAATTGAAGAGCAAGCTGAAGTAGTATAACAATCGGGTTGAGACGTCTCTTAAAAATCTTTTTAAAAGGAGAAAAGAGGAAAAAAAATATTTGAAACCTGTATATAATCAGTAACAGTAGATCAAAACCAAGAGAGAGAAAAATGACATGATGTGGATTTTTTAAAATAATAATTGTGAGCTGGCCTTGAG